ATATACACACATTCAGTGCTATCTATCCTTTTTCCTTTAGAGTACTTTCTCTTTATGTTTAACACCTAAAGAACTCTAATTATTGGCTACATTTCAGTATAATGTAGACTACAGGGAATGGCACTAAAGAAATCATAATTGAATAGGAATTTTTCAATTATGAGAAGTGGCAGAAACCAGGAATAATTCCATTTTCAGGCAGTTTCTGGTTTCTGAAGGAAGGGTGTGCGGCATGCTGCGCTGGGCTGGGGTTAGTACCTCCTTCTGTCCTCACAGTCAGAGTCAGAGCTGTTGTGGCCACAAACTGTGTAACGCTGCTGCATCCTCAGGGCATAGCCCATGCACTGCCTAGGACACTAGAACAGAGAACAGAAGTACAGAGTTACATGAACCCTGGGTACTCATGCAGGATCTATACTGAGGTGGGATAGCTAAGGACCACTTACAAGGGGACCAGCCACCCCCATATTGAGTTAGAAGGGGTTAAATGGCAGCTCTGCAGACAGACACCCTGCCATAAGACCAGGAAGAGACCCACTCTTCTCCCATTCTTTCTTCCTGAAACTTAGATCCCTGAAGGGAGAATGGAAAGGACAGGACAAACCCTGGAGTGACTGAGCTTAAGTCTGGAAATGGCTATATTTAAAACCATAAGTGAATGTCAAGTTTGGATTTTCCTGCTCTTAGCAAAAATGGAGGCATGTGTTCTGAGGCGTGTTCAATTACAGGAAAAGTAGTTCATTTGATTTGCAGATCTTAAATTTTTACTTAGTTATAATGCCTATTAATTTTTTCCTTATAATTATTTTCTGCATGGAAACACCTTTCCCACCATGATAGTTCTGTTTCCATTTTTACTACTTCTACACTGAGTTCTTTGGTCATGTCAGAATTTTGTGGTATATGTTCTAAGTTTAGTCTCTGATTTTCCTTATTTTTCTTTTATCACTTAATCAAGTTCTCTCCTATCTTTTTATTTTTGAGTTGAGTTTTATTGGGCTGTAATTCACCTACCATATAATGGTTTTCAAATTTGCCACACTACAATCAATTTTAGAACATTATCGTCATTCCTTAAAGAAACCCAGTAAACAGTAACCTTCATGGTCATTCAATTCTTCCCGCTGCCTCTCCTCCCAGGCCTAGGCAACTACGGGGCTACTTTGTATTTTATAGATCTACTATTCTAGACACAACACATCAGTGGGATCCTCTGTCTGTCTTCCTTCATTCGCCCTAAGCTTCTCAAGGTTTGCTCGTGTTGTAGACTGTGTCGGTCCTTTGCCCCTTTGAGTGACTAAGTGATATTCCTTGTATGAGCACATTGCAGCTCAGTTGCTCAGCAGTTCCTTGATTTTTTTGGGTGATTGCAGATTGCTGTGATCTGTGCTGTCCTGCTGTTTGGTTACTATGAGTAATTAGCCTCTGAACAATCATTGACAAATCTTTGTGGGGACTAGTGTTTTCATTGCCCTAGGTTATACACCTAGTAATGGAATTGCTGGATCATAACGATGTTTATGTTTAACCCCTAGAGGACCTGATAGATTGTTTTCCAAAATGGTGAGACCATTTACATCCCCATCGATAGCGTCTGAAGGTTCCAATTCCTCCACATCCTACCAACTTGCCCTGTTTTTAAACTACTGTCATAGTAATGGCTACGAAGCAGTATCTTGTATGGTTAACTGATGATGAACATTTTTTATGTGCTCCCTCACCGTTTGTACTTCTTTAATCAAGAAATGTTTATTTAGAGCCTTCATTCATATTTAATTGAGTTATTTGCATTTTAATTGAGTTGTGGTTTTTAACATGTATTTTAGATACAAGTTCTTTTTCATATACACAATATTTAAATATTTTCTCCCAATCTGCATGCTGTTTATTTTTTGATGGCGTCATTTGTAACATGAGGCTTTAGTTTAGATATAGTTCAATTTGTCCATTTTGTTTTTGTTTTACTTTTGGTGTTCTATGTAAGAAATAATTTCCTACAATGCAAAGATTTGCCTACTTTTTTCCCCTATGAATTAAGTTTTAGCTATTAAATGTTAAGTCTTTAGTCCATTTCATGATAGCTTGTATATAGATCTTGAATAGTAGGGAGTCTAACTGTGGTGCTTTTGTATGTGGATATCCAGTTGTCTTGTAGAATCTGTGAAAAGTATATTATTTACTTTTGTTATTGTTTTGGCCAATTACCTGACAAGAAAAAATTTAAAGGAGGAGAAATTCATTCTGGCTCATCGTTCAGGGGATATGGGCCATCATGCTGGGGACAGTATGGTGGAAAGAGTGGCTGCTGCTGTGGCAGCCAGAACTTGCTCACACTCAGGGGATCAGGAAGCAAAGAAATGGGGAATTCTGAGCACAACTGACTTTCTACTTTTTCCTTTTGTATTCAGTCTGGGGCCTCAGCCTAGGTACTGCCCATAGTCAAGGCAAGTCTTATCCACTCAGTTAATCCTCTATGGAAATTTTATCACGGACACACCCACAAGTGCCTCACTAATGACATAAACCTTTCTTAATCATACTGTCAATAGACATTAACTATCAAAAAAGACTATATTTTCTCCAGTGAATGACCTTGTCAATCTTACTGAGGATCAAATGGTTTATTTTTGGATTTCATTCTGTTTCAGGGATCTAGTATCTATCTATCTGTCTGTCTGTCTGTCTGTCTATCATCTATCTATGTATCTATCAATCTATGTATCTATCATCTATCTATCTATCTATTTATCTATCTATCTATCTATCTATCTATCTATCTATCTATCTATCTATCTAACTATCATCTGTCAATCATCTTCTATCATCTATCTACCTTGTGTTAGAACAACATCATTTTGACACTTTTGTAGTTAAGTTTTAAAATCAGAAGTTTGAGTTCCCCAACTTGTTCTTTTTCAAGGGTTGCTTTGGATATTCTGGGCTACTTCTAGTTCCATATGCACTTAGGACAAGCTTGCCAATTTCTGGTTGAGAATGCTGTGAATCTTTAATAACTTTAGAGTGTGTTATGCTATTAGCAAGATCAAGTCATCTTATTCATAAACAAAGGAAATATTTTTATTTATTTAGATTTCCTTTAATTTCTTTAAAAAAACATTTTGTAGTTTTGTACCACCTATTTTTTTTTTAAAATCCATCCTCTCACTTCATTGACTGCCCTTGAACTTTAAAGTTGTTTAACTCGGGTCTATTTCTGTTCTATAATTACATTCTATGCCCCATGTCTATTCCTGCCCCAATTGTGCGTTTTTGCTTACAACAGTTTGGCATTGTGTTTGGCATAGGATAAAGAAAGGCTCTCTCCACACAACTGAGTTTTTCTTTCTAAAAGTTTCTTGTCCTTTATTTGCAGAATAAAGGTCAGAATTATATTAAGTTCCAGAAAAAGCTTATGTTATTTTAATTAACATTGCATTAAATACATGAATTCATTTTCAGGAATGGATGTCATCACAGTACTGATATTTTTCCATTCACCAAAATAATAAGTCTTTATTTGTCCAACTTTCCATTTATGCATTTTTAAATTTTTGAGTTGTACACTGAAAATAATTTTCCTAGGCATTTGTTATAATTGTATTTGTTTGTTTTAAGACAAGGTTTCTCTAGGTAACCTAAGCTGGCCTAGAATTCACTGTTTAGCCCAGGCTGGCCTGGAACTTGCCATCCTCCAGCCTCAACCTCATGAGTGCTAGGATTGCAGCCATGCCACCACGCCTGGCTTACTTATCACAAATTTATTTTATTATTTTTATTTTTGTGTATGAGTATATTGCCTGCATACATGTAAGCGTACCCAAGTCATGTAATGCCCACAGAAGTCAGAAGAGGGCACTGGATTCCCCTGGAACTGGAATTACATGGCTTGTTAACCGCCACATGGGTGCTGGGAACTGAACCCAGGTCCTCTACAAGAGCAGTCAGTGCTCTTAACTGCTGAGCCATCTCTCCAGCCCTATCATAAATTTATTAAAGGTAGCATTTAGAATGGGGATTTTATGCTGATATCATTAATTTTTTTTTGTTTGTTTGTTTCCTTTTTTAAGGTACTGGGACTCAAATCTAGGACAACATGCATGCTGGTCAAGTGCTCTGCCACTGAGCTCCCCATGGGTCTCCTTTTCTTAAAAGCTATTCTTATTCCTACTGTTGTAAATGGCTCTATTTTGGAGCTTTGGTCATTGTGCCACCACATTCAAGGGAACTAAACTTGGTTCACTGCTGTACTGGAAGACAAAGACACACTAATTTCTAAATTGATACCTTCTGGTCAGGGACGTGCATTCATTTTAGAGAGCAACCAGACATTCTAAAAGTTTAAAAAGTTTATTAGTAACAAAGAGCTGATTACAGACAGTACTGTCAATGTAAAATGTTACCTGGCTCCCTGAGTCAATGACTTGTTGAACACATGGGTGGACAGAACAGGGTTTTCTTCCTAGAGGCTGGTCTTTAGAGGCACACGCCCTGAGAGACACCACCTGTACAGTCCCATTGGCTTTTGTCTGCTTGCAGGTCACTTGCCGACTGTGAAATCCTTCACCACAAGACACAGAGCACTCTGACCACACACTTGTGAACCACCTAGGAGCAAAAACTACAGGATTTTAGTAAGGACTGGTATGAAAACATGGATCCCGACACTATGGTGGGGTCAAGGGAGTCACATGTCTCTACAGGTCAGTGAAGCAGTACAGGTGACTCTCAGCCTTCCTTTCAGTTTTGCTTGGGGAACATCAGAGTCACCAGATACAGACAGATGTGATGGGAGAGAGCCAGCTGACAGTTTATGGAAAGCTGTCGCTGTATAGCACCAAAGCACAGGGCTAGGAAAAATGGGTAGACATTTCTACTGGTTTCTTTTTATTCTCTCTCTCTGTCTCCGTCTCTCTCTCTCTCTCTCTCTCTCTCTCTCTCTCTCTTTCTCTCTGTCTGTCTGTCTCCTGCCCTTTCAGGTCTCTCTCTATAGCTCAAACTGGCCCTGGCCATGAACACATGATTCTCCTCCCTCTCAGCCTCCCAACTGCTGAGTTTACAAACATGGATGTACCACAACACACAGCGTTAGTGATTTTTTAAATTTCTCCCTTTCTTTCTCATTCTGCAAAATTGGGAACTAGACAAAAACCATTTTATGGGATTTAACGCACTGGTTTTCAGTTCTTTAACCTTATTTGGGTATACTACACTTTTATTTTTAAAAATCAATATTTATTCCAAATTCAAAATTATCCTGATGCGATAGAAATGGATATAAAGTAGAGGTTAAAATACAGCTCCAAGCAAGGTGTGGCTGGGAGTTCACGACCATCGGGGAGGTTTTCATGTTGTGTCTCTGAGAAAGGTATTTTGAACTCATTCTATAAGGCTGAGGAGGTGCAACTACAACAAAAATGTAGCATCTGCGTTTCTAAAAAGCTAGTGTAAGAAGTGGCATCAGATGCCAGGACCTCATGGAGGAGACTCCTTGGGAGTTACTCTGCAAGGGGAAGAAATGGGCAGGGGATTCTTCCAGCATGCCTTGCAGACAGATTTGGTCAGAGCTGCTTTCTACATGGCCTGCTACATCTCCTTTCAACCGTTTCTTATGGAGTCTTCTGCAGAATTCCCAAACATTGTGATCCCCAACAGACAGAGGGATCTTTCTTAAACCTATGTGAACACAAGCCATCAGGCTTGTTTAGCCTGAGCTGACACCATCTTCCACCCCATTTCCCATCCTTCTCTCCCTTAGGCTGTTGGACGTTTCCTGGAGTCCCTCTCAGGCTTCCCAGAAGATTTCTGTGTGATATCCTGCTGTCTCCACCTGTCTGTGTGTCTCTACTGCCACTTGTCCTGACCTGCTATTATTGCTTCTTTCTTTCTTTCTTTCTTTCTTTCTTTCTTTCTTTCTTTCTCTCTCTCTTTCTTTCTCTCTCTTTCTCTCTTTCTCTTTCTCTCTCTCTTTCCCTCCTTATTTCCTTTTTTCTTCTCCATTTCCCATCTCCCCACCTTCTCTCATCCCAGGGTCTCACTATGTGGCCCCAGGTGGCCTGAAACTCTTTGGGTAGCATAGAATGACCTGGAAATCAGAATCCTTCTGCTTCTGCCTTCTCCCAAAAGTTAGATTTTAGTTTATTGAAACCAAAATGGAGAAACATATTTCTAAAACATTTATGTGCTGTTTCCTTTAAAAGATTACATGTTGTCTATTTAATTCTTGTGTTATTCCCATTCCTGTAGGGAAGTAGCTATAGAAATTGACTATAGTTTTACAACAAAATTGTTCACAGAGCTGGAAGTAGGTTTTTGGCTTATTTGACCCTAAGGTTCATGTAATGGTGATGGGAGATTAAATTTGGAGTTAGAAACCTTTGGAACACTGAACACTTTGTCATCGAGGCTGTCTAAGCTGCTGCTGGGAAACTGCAGAGGAGAAATTTCTATCCTGAGGTCCATGGTCATCCAAGGGACTGCAGGCGTGGTTACTAAATCTAACTGACATTTAGTTTTTCTTTTAATGATAAAATCGTAGGCTATGAACATGGTATAGTTGTGGTTTTGTTACCAGTGGTAATCATAGATATGTCTGTATTATGTTACACTTGTGGCAGATATATCAAAATACTAAAATTCATCATTAAAAACTAAAATGCAACCAGACCTTGCTATTTACCATATTGACAGAGAAGCAAATCTATCACTGTGATACATTTAAGAATGTTTCAATAAACACATTTCAGTATAATAGGGTTTTTGGTAATCAAATCTATTGTATTCATGTATTTAAAAAATCTTGTTCTGAGAAGATAAATGTACTTTCTAGACTATCAGAGGAGCCATGGTGCAGACATGTTAGGATTAAGGATCTGTGGGCAAGGATCTGTGGGTTGACATGACCTCTAGGTTGTTTTGTTTTTTTTTTGTTTTGTTTTGTTTTGTTTTTGTCTTTTTGAGACAGGGTCTCCCTGCAGCTCCAGCTGTCCTGGAACTCACTATGTAGACTAGGCTGGCCTTGAACTCACAAAGATCTGCCTGCCTCTGCCTCCCAAGTGCTGGGATTAAAGGTGTGCATCTTGTTTTTACAAAGTATGGCAGTGTATGACTCTACTTGTTCTAGAAGAATGCAAAGTCTGAAGAATGCTTAATAGGCAGTTTGGCTGATTGTTTTCCCAATGTGTATTCTATTTTGTGAAAATAAAAAAATTGATATAGACTAGCTTTCTTGGGTCAGGTTCCCCTTATTGTTGCCTGAGCTTGATATTTCTGAGGGATGACTCTTAGTGTGAGGCCTTCTCTTTAGGAATAACAGTAGGGACTGAAGAGATGGCTCAGCGGTTAAAGGCACTTTCTGCTCTTACAGAGGATGGGGGGGTTCAGTTCCCAGCACCCACATGGCTTCTAAAAACTGTCTTTAACTCCAGTTCCAGGGGATCCAACACTCTATTCTGGCCTCCTTGGGCAATGCACACATGTGGTGCATGTAAATACATGCACAATAAAATGCTCACACACACAGAAAATAAAAACAAAATATTAAAAAATAGAAATGATAGTGGGCACTAAAAGATATGGCAGGTACCCAGCCTGCAATTGTTAATAGCCCTTTTAAGAACATGCCTCACAACAGCTGTTGTGCTTTACACTGTGGCTTTCCTCTCTCTTCTGAGGCATAGGTAATTAGGTGTATTGTGGGTATTTTCATGGGAAATGAAACCATAAGGTTCCCCCAATTTTATTTTTTTGAGACAGGGTCTCTCTGTAACCCCAACTGACCTGGAACTCGCTATGAAGATCAGTCTTAATTTGATTTCACAGAGACCTGCCTGCTGCTGCCTGGAGAGTGCTGGGATTTAAGGTGTGTGCCATCACACCTGGCTTTCCATTTTGTTTTTAAAGATTTATTTTTATTTTTATTTGTGTCTACATGCGACATGTGTGTGGGAGTGCCTGCAGAAGCCAGAAGAGGGCATCAGATGCCCTGGAACTGAAGTTAACAATTTTGTGAGCTGACGGACATGGATGCTGGAAACAGAACTGTGGACCACTGTAGGAGCAAAAGGTTTCTACACCACTGGGCCATCTCTCCAGCCCCCAGTTTCCCTATTTCTTAAATAAAAAATAATAGGGTTGAAAACCCTGACTGACTCACAGATTTGAACTCAAAATACAAAAATACTCTTGCTTTGTTAATTGGCATTTTTTTACTATGTATTTTGGATCATTTTGCCAATGATCTGCTAGGCTCTCTGCCATTTCAGTCATTCATCTCCCATTAATGCTTTCTCTGAATATAAAGCTTGGCTACTGAGCGATTTCAGTCCAAATTACTGCCTTTTAATACAAGCAAGCTAGGTATACATACCTTGCCGGGCAATCGCGGGTGTTGCAGGACTGGAACCCAGCTAGTGGCTTCTGGAGGGAACCACAAAGGGCTTCACTCACTTCCTGCCCATTGGCCATCATACACTGGGGTCTCTGAAGGCGGACTCCTAAGGGGCCGCAGGTGGCAGAACAATGTGTCCAGTTACCAGAGTCCCAAAAAGGCTCTACAGAAAGGAAATGAAATGTTATGACAGCCCCAAATAAGAAATGATGATAGGCTAGGGGCAACAGGACCAAAGACCACCACGAGTTTCTCTGTGGTTAGCTGCCTGTCTGAGTTTCCAAGAAGCACACATAGAGAAAGCCACTGCAGAGCACAAGGGAATCCTTTAAATCTTACTTTCTCTTGACTATTGTACTTGCTGACCAGAACAGCAGCCAGAATGGGGCCTTTGGACCTTAGCCTGGGAGAGGACCATTGCAGGCAAGTTAGATTTACCAGAAAAACCCCAAAGAGAGGGAGGAGGTGCTGAGCAGTGGGCACTTCTCCAGCATTCTCCAAGCAGAGCCAAGAGACAGGCAGGAAGGCCTCTCCAGGGGATGCTCTAACATTGTCCATTTCCCAAAAATGCATCAGGCAGAGAAATGGAAGATGATTTAGCAGGAGGAATGGGGGGACCAGGATTAAGCAGTAAGGTGAGATGAATTTGAGTTCCACCCTTGCTTTTCCATTAATACTTAACCCAAACTTTACATCAGTCCTAAAACTGCATAAATGATTTGTCTGAAGACATCTGGAAAGGTAAGGAGTTTCCTTCAGACAAGTAGAAGCTAACCACCTCCAGTAATCACGGCTTTCTTGTTACTCTTCCTTGCCTACACTTGGTAAAGGATGAGGCAGGACACAACGATGACAGGTTTGTGGATGGCCACAGAGAATGCCAGATTTCCCTGCAATGATCAGGAATAATTGATAGCTACCAGCTGTGTCTACACACTCTCACAGAGAAGAGTGATTTCTTTAACTTACTGTTTTCCATTCTAAGTTTTGAGTTTTTGTCTCAAATTGACACAAAGCATCATGTGCAGGGAAGAATCACAAAATACATTTCCAATTGGACCTTCAGGATCATAGTTTACTTAAGATGTTTCTTAAAGATAGTTTTCTGAAACTCTCCAAGCAGAACAGGTAGTGAGTTAGGTACCTTACATACAATTTTTCATTTATTCTTCTCAGTTGTGTTGTGAAGCCAGTGCTTTTATTTTTATTTACAGATGTGGAGACTGAATGGGTTAAGTAACTTGCCCAATGTCTGTAATCTGTTCGTTAGGTTGGGACCCATATGGGTCTAACTCCAAGTCTCTGTTAGACCACATGTCACAAGGACACCTTGACAACTCAAGGCAAGATGTGTATATTTCTTTTAAAATACAGGGCTTTTATTAAAGTAGAATTCACATACAAAATGCTCATATCTCAAATATGCACTTTTATGAGTTTTTCAATTGTATAAACATATGACCGTGGTCCAAAGCAAGGGTCATAATATTTTAATGCCCCTAAAGGTTTAATTTCGCCATTTTCCAATCAATTCCTTTCCCCTCCCAGGCAACCACAAATTTACTTTAACTATCAGTATATATTAGCTTCCCTTCCTCCTGGGCTTTCTGGAACATGTCTTTTCACATTTGCTTTCTTAGTTTATCATTGTGGGAATGCGCTCCTATCGTAAATATCTTACTGCTGAACAATACATTATTTCTGATTTCACTTTTCATTCTCCTGTTGATGGCTATTGTGCATAAGACAACGTTCATGTACGAATCTTTTTGTGTGAACATGTTTTCATCCTGCTTAAATAAATAAACACCTTTGAGTGGAATTTCCTGGTCAAGGATAGGTATATGTTTAACTACAAAGTGCCAAATAGTTTTCCAAAGTGGTCTTTTCTCACCACGTTACACATTAAATAATACACAGTAGTTTCAGCTGACAAAGTGGTGAAATTTGGTAGTGTCGGTGTTTTTATTTTCAGCTACTGTAGCAGGTGAGAAATTGCATCTCTGTGGTTTTGATGTACATTTCCCTGATTCTGCCTGTTGTATAGTAATTTCCTCTAAGATTCCTTAAGATCCAGAAGTTCTAAAAGGAGGTTTCTTAAGTCCTTGAAACTGACCAGATACACAAGAACCCTCCCTCCCCAAGGTTATATAAGCAATATGGACTGCTGAGGAGACTCATTAGCTGTGCTATCTGAGGAGACCTGCTGAGCTGCCTAAGAAGACACTCTCTGATCTGTTGGACTGCCTGAGAGTGATGCAGTGAGCTCTTGGTCTTCAATTTTCCTGAGCCACCATCCATGCTGGAGTGGACTTTTGGTGATATAGCTGCCTTTGAGTCATTTGTGCTCCAGTAAGTAACCCCAATAAAGTCTTTGGTTTATCAAGTTGGGCTTTGATGATGTCCTTACTCTGGTCTGGCATCAGTTCTTTATTTGGGGTGAGTAGATGCCTGTTCAGGTCTCCCAGGAACAGTATCACACAACACAGCTGTATGCAACTTTTTGTAGAGTGTCTGTTGAGGGTTGTTTTTTTTTTCCACTCTTTTGTAGTGGGGGGTTGGTGTTCAGTGTTAACTCAAAGGAGTTCTTTATGTTTTACATATAAATTCTTCATCAGAAATATGTCCTGCCACACGCAGGCTAAATTGCTCAGTTGGGAGAGAAACTGAAGAAATATGTTCTGCCAATATTTTTCCCAGTTGCATTTGAAAAGTAGATCATGTCCTGATACTCTCATATATAACACCTAAATAGCCCCCATACTTTTAGAATAACTGTGAACTTTTTAACTTGACCTCCAAAGCCCTGAATTATTTGATTTTCAGCAGTTCTCCAACTCATACCCCTCTCCCTTCTCTCTTGTACCCAAGTTGTATCCTTGAACACACCAGGTCACTCTCACGGTGCAGTATGCATTAACTATTCCCTTTCTGAAAATGCTCCTTCCTTACCCTGCTGCATCGATGGCTCCATCTCACCATAAGGTCTGGGCTCATGAATCTCCTCCACAGAAGGCATTCCTGCCTAGCTTCACCAAAGTGGTTGGTGCCAAACAGTATATACCCCACCACTCTAATTTCTTCCTTTCTTAGTACTTACCACATTTTTGTTTACTTATTTCCTGTTCATCTCTCCTATTGGAAATTCAAGTCCATAAATAACATCCTATTCAACACGATGATAGAGCATGTCATATATTAGTCACTGAAGTCACATTGGTTAACCTAATAAAGATTCTCTATGAACTGCTAGCCTAAGGACTCATTGCAGGGCTGGTACACTGTACAGTGTGTACAAGAGTGTTTTCATACATTCCTGTGGAGGTGTTTCTGATCTGAGTACAAGGTGTTAGAATAATGCAAGTAATCTCAGTAGGCCAAGTGCTATCTACAAAGGAAGTCATGTCCCCTCATGAAAATGTCATGTTTTCATTAATTTCGGGGTTCTCTTGATCTTCATGTCCATGGTATGTGCAATGTCTTTTTGTCTTCTCACATCCTAGTTTCTCTTATTGGAAGTCTTTCTTTCTCTTCAACAAATATCATGACTTACATGAAAACCTTGTTGACATTTCAAGAAAGAGGTAGGGCTCCTTCATCATGATTCCATTGCACTTTAGCCATGTTTTTATCATGACACTTGCTATCCTACTTCAGAATGACTGTTTACATGACTGTCTCCATCTCAGATTGCAAACTTCTCAAAGACTATGTCATTCTGATCCTCAGCCCTGGGAAAATCAAGCACTCAGCAATATCACTGAATTTCAAATTAGTAAATAATTGTGCATAATAATGGTAGTATAGTATAAAAAGAAGAAATGTATAGCTACTTAAATACTAGGGTCAGTAGGAACATGTGGTTCAATGTTGATTGGTATCTTAACATTATTTCCCTGTCTATCCTCTCTCTTGCATCTCAGGAGGTGGGTTCTTAGAAACTATACATCAGACTCTCTATCTACAAAGTGATATTCTGCACGATACGTTATGCAGCCGAGAACTGCTCAGAATTTAAAACCCGGAAATGGCAGAGCTGTTACTGTTCTTGTACAGTAGAGTAAAACATGTGACTTAACAGTAGCTTTGGTGTGTCCTTCTGCCATCATGACCCACTTTTGAGTGACAAGATGCTGAGATCATCAGTTATAGTTTAATTTTTTTTTTTTTTTGGTCAGTGTTTATTTTGAGACAAGGTCTTCCTGTAGCCCTGGCTGGCCAGGAACTTGCTATTTAGACCAGGTTGGTCTTAGTCTCATAGAAATCTGCCTACCTCTGCCTCCCAAGCTCTAGGATTAAAAGTGTGTGCCACTATGTGAGGCCATCAGTCATAGTTTTACTACGCTTTTCTGATTTTTTTTTACCTGTACCTTACTCCCTTGGCCTCTTGAAGAGGTTTACAAGCTTGGAACACCTAGAGTAGGTTCTTCTGGTCAAGCACTGATACGTAGCAAAGTTGGGAAATTTGTGCGTGGTGAAGAGAAAAAGAATTGATAACACAACTCTTGGTAGACTTTTCCTCTGTTGAAATTCACTGAGTTGACAGAAGATTTGAAACTGGAAAATAAATATCTGTATCATGACAAATCAGGATGTGTATTAGGGATGTGAGCTCCATGAGGGGCCTCATTTCAAGCAGGGCTGGAACATGAAAGGAGCAGGTGGAACTAGCAAAGACCAAGGGCAAGAAAAGAAAGAACTGGGTAAGCACCCAGGAATCATTTTACACAGAGCAAAATTAACAGCATAGAGGTCACATTCTAGCCACACCCTTTTCTTTGTATGTGCTTCATAAAGAGGAAATCTGTAAAAAGTCAAAATTCCAGACCTTGAGGCAGGGTTGCTCTTGTTGGGTCACTGCTGTTGGTTCTGATGTTGGATGCCTGGGGACTATGCTTTTTCTGTCCCTTAGGAAACACAATCTTACTGCCTGGTTCTCTTCGCTCTGAGAAAACAAAATCCAACACATTTTACCAATTAAAAACCTCTGAATTCTCATTCCAGTTTGAGTGTTCTTAAAGACAACTATTAGGAGGAAGTAGCCTTTTCTATTAGAATGCTTCTATCTTTGGATCCTTGGATGCTCTGGTTTATACAGATCTGGTGGGGGTGCTTTTGGTGGGATGTTTAAGGGTATTTGGGGTAGAATTATGTACTATGTGCTAACATGAGGCATCTATGCACATTTCTAAGGTCAGCCTAACTTACAAAATAGAAAACATAAATTCCTCAGTACTAAAAGGGACTGGAGGAAGCAAATTGGTCAGATAGAACTCTTCCCCCTATAGAGGAGTCTTAGGACAGGAGAATGAGCTATATTCCACAGAGGAACTCACAGGGTGAGGAAAGTAGGCTTTTAGGAAGGTTGTGAACTTGAACCTCGAGGCTAAAAGATAGTGGAGGAGTATTGGGAATTGATCCCTCAAAGTTGAGTGACAGCTCCCCAAAAGGTTGGGAGCTGCATGCCTTGAGGGAATTTTTGAAAAGAGGAGGTATACTAGGCAGAACTGAGTCAATCATGCAGATTTAGGAGTGAGATGGGCAAGAGAGAGGAATTAGCCTGGGATTCAAAGTAAGCATGGATAACTCATTCCAGAACGGGAAAGCTTTGGCTCAGATGAGCTGCCAAAATTCTTGTGTTACAAGACTTCAGGTGGCTGAGGCGGTTCACCGAGAGGAGTCACACCAAGGTATTCTATTCTACTTCCCTCCCCATCCATACTGAGAGTCCACGGGCAAACTACAAGCAACACAAAGGAGACTATATATTTGGGCTCTAGTCCAATTCCACTGTGGCCTTCAAGTTCCCTAAATAAAAAATAACTGGCCTCTATCCTGCACTATTCTAAATGCCAGGAGAACTGATGAAAAAACAAAGCACTTTAAGCAGAGCATGGTGGGCCATACCTGTTGTCCCAGCATTTCGAAGGCTGAGACCAACCTCAGCTATCTAGCAAGATCCTGTCTCAAAAGTCCCCAACCCCAAAGCCCAAATTAAAAACATACATTTTTTTTTTGTATGGCAGCTATTCTAACTTTCCTCTGGTGCACCTCCCATCTCTGCATGTCTCTGAGCACTCCTAAATGCCAACAAGGAAGGCCATGAAGAAAGCTCTTTCATGTGACTCCTATAATCTCATACTAGTCCTTTGATTTCATTCATTCATAAAATACATACTTAACACACCTGTGTTAGGTGCTGGAGCTACAGAGAGGAAAAATAAATGATCTCTGATGTTCATTTGATTGACTTCTGTGATTAACTCTCAACTGATTCCAAGCTCTGGAGGGAAAGAGGGGTGATATTTGCTCAGTCCTAAAACCCCGGCAGCCTATAGCTCATTTTGTTGAAAAGAACTGAATGAATGCTACATGTCATCCCCAAGAGGAATGAAAACCAGGCTAGCATCTTGTGTCTGGGGTTGGGAATGGAGAATGTTGGTGTGGCCTCCCTCATCCTAACACTTGCCTGACTGTGCAATATCCTTTTTTAAAAAAAAATTTAAATTTAATAATCACATGATTAGAAGAAGCATTTCATTATAGCTTTAATATATTCGGTAACACATTCCAGAGCAAGGATAACAGTTGGATTAATACAGTTATACAGTATTGAACTCAGTATAAACCCTGTAAGACATAAAATTGAATGAGTTTTTACCCTTTAAAGAAGATCTCCATTTCATTTTAAAAAATGATGTTTCCTACATTTTTAATGCTACTAACACTTAGATGTTTGCACAAGTGTCTTTAATCTCTATGTATCTGATTATTACCAGTCCCAGTCGGTTATACTCGGATCCTTAGTACCTGAGTATGGATATAAAGTCATCAGGTAGATTGACTGTGAAATTGTAAACTTGATAGACTTCTGTGCTCCATACTGTATTGTATCCTCAGGACTGTGAAGGAAATGCCAGACATGCTCCCTACCTTTGAGGGAATTCAGTTGAGGAAACAGAAGCAAAAGAAGAAACAGTTGGAAGGCAATGCGTGTCAGGACTTAATCAGGTAGTAAGTAGGGATCATAGGAAGTGGCTGGAGAGATGGCTTGGTGGTTAAGAGCCCTAGTTACTCTTGCAGAGGATCCGGGTTCAATTCCCAGCACCCACATTGCAGATAACAACCATTTGTAACTCCAGTTCTAGGGGATCTGACGCCCTCTTCAGACCTCCAAGGACATTGCATGAGTGCATTTACATACATGCAGGCAATACACTCACACACACAAAATAAAAATAAAATATTTTAAGTAGAGACCACAGAAAGAGATTTAGAAAAATCAGAAGATTCATATAGGAAGTAGACATTCAGTGGGTCCTACTTGATGAGGCTGGTTGGTGCACTGTGAGAAAAGCAGTGACAGGCATTTCTTGCTAGGGGAAGAAATAGGCCTTGAATTCCCAAAGAGGAAAGGGCATGGTGTGTGTGTGTGTGTGTGTGTGTGTGTGTGTGTGTGTCTATGTGTGTGAGATCATAAGGCCAGAAATCATCTTGACTAGGACAAAGCTCAGCACAACACTCATATTGTATAGGAATCTGGAGTTAAGCAGATGTAGAAGAACACGAAAGCTCTTAATTCTGGGGAGAAAAGTTCATGTCCCCACACAGGCTCTTAAGCAGAAGTGTACTTTAGAGCCACAACCTTCGGAGAAAGGAACCAGCATGACATGGTGTGAGAATTTGGTGCATGTGTTTAAGTAGGCAGTGGCGGCAAGGGTGAAAACCATGGGAAACTCATCTCTTCCACTCCTTGACTCCAGCATCAACAAAACCTTGCTCTGTTTTGTACACATTATAGGACATACATCAGGAACAATTAGAATTCAGCACTCACCCAGCAAGTGGAGCACAGATGTTGCCATTGCTTTTCCAAGAGCATTGGTGGCTGTACAAATGTAGGTTCCTTCATTCTCAAGGGAAACATTCTGCAACAACAGGGATCCATTGAAAAGCAAGGAAACATTGTCACTCAGAGATCCTCCTCTCTTCAACCAAGTTACATTAGGCTGAGGGACACCTTTGGAACAAAAACAAATATGACAAAGGCAATTCCTTTAAGAATAGGGCCACAGAACCACGTGACAAATACTATTCAGTATTTTGGCCACAAATCAGGAAATGGGCTAATCATAGCTAATAGGAAAATGGACGTTCTTGTTTTTATGGCACCTCTATGGCATCTGTATGGGGAATCCTGTTAAAGCAAAGCCTTGGTCTATGGAGCACCTTATTAGTTGATGTACTAAGTTAAGGGACAGGGGCCAATCAGAGTACAATTGCTCTGCACTGGGAAGAATGGGATTTTGAAGTTGGGCAGGACAGTGGGAACATGATTAGAGAGATGTTGATGGTGCTGGGGTAGGTGGGGGCAGAGAGATGAATTCCCATGACTGAGTTGTGCTTTGAATGGGAACTGTTACTCAAAGGCTCAAGTATTTGAACACTTTGTTTGCAGTGCTATTTGGGGAGGTCATGGAAATCTTTAGGAGGTGTAGCCTTGCTGGAAGAAGGTTGTCACTGGGTCCAGGCTTTGGGCATCCATAGCCTTGCTCCTCTCCCAGGTCTGTCTCTGCTTTGTGTTTGCTATTGAAGATGGGAACTTGGCTCTCCATCCTGCCTGCCTCTTGTGACCGTGCCTCTCTACCATAATGGACTCGTCCCTCTGGAATAATAAGCTGAAATAAACTCTTTCTTCTATAAACTGCCTTGGTCATGGTATTTTATCATAGCAACAGAAAAGTAACCAGGAAGACTTTGGAAAACAAAAGTATTTACTCTAGACCTTCATTTGCTGTGCACATACAATGGGAACATTACTCCTTGAGGAAGACTATTCACTCTTCAGAGAGATATATTTTCTTCATACTGATTTTATAAAAGAAGATAATTTTAGAGAACAAAAGTGTTGAGTTTTGAGTCTATCAGTGTGGTAGAGACTCACAGAAGCCTGGACACAGGGGTTAGGGGACATAAAGAACTGAAAGAACTTCTGACCAATCATCATAATACTTAGCATTTTGCTTGGTTATGTACTTGAAACTCAGAACAAGCTCATTTGATTCTTAAGAGCGGGGCTTGCCTCAAATGGTTCCTGGGATCACAGTAGGTAGCAGGTTTGGAGAATATCCTTTCCTCCCAAAGTGCTGTGGCTGGAGAGGAAATGGAGGCATGAATGACTTTCTGTCAAACCATAAATGTCACCAACTGTGATCATGGCTTGTGCAAGGCACCTTACATGCAGAGACGCGGTCCAAGAACTTGGCAATATTTTAATTCTTACAGCATTCCTCCTTCCTGGGAAGTGGTCATTATGAGAACCATCTCACAGCTGAGACGTTGGTAAGCCTGGGGAAATCAGCTCCAACTCTTCTGTCCACTGTACTAGTCTGATTATTCACGTTTCTAAGGGTAGTTGTTGTGTGGCTTTAGAAAAATAACTATTCAGTTAGAAATGCTCAGGTGTACACATAGAAACCAAAGATGGGTATTTGTGCTGAAGAAGTGCCACAAAATTCAAGCTGGAAAAAAAGACCCAAGTTTTGCTCAAAGAGGAGAAAATAGAATGGAACCAACATTGTCTTGAGTGGGAGAGGAGGTACTGTCTTCATTCTTATCTATTACTTTGGGAACCTTGGACATCACATTGGATTCCAGAAGGCATAAGTGTGAAGGGAATATGCAATGAGAATGGGAACATCATCATGTTTGTGTATAACATTTGAGGTCTTTAAAACCTGAGTCTAAGTTGGGCCAGTGAAAAGGTTTTGCAAATATAACTGGCCTTAAAAGAGTGAGGTTATTGGGATGGGCTAATGCAACCTTATGAGTTCTGAAGATCAGAAGAAGAGAGAGCAGAAATTGTTAGAGAGATGTGAAACAAGACAAAGTAGAAGAAATGAGGCAGAAGAAGTATTCAGAGAGATTGAACATACAGGAGGGAGGGACATGGTCCATCACTAACAACTTTGAAGTGAAGGGGGCATGGGCCAGAGAATGCAGGTGGCCTTTAAAAGCTGGAGTGTCCTCCTGTTGACAGTAACAAGAAAGTGGGAACTTCAGCCTTGCAATGAATATCAGCTGAATTCCAGCAGTAACTGGAAGGTGGTATATCCCCACAGTCCCCAGAAGGAATTCAGCCTCACCAACACCTTCCTCTTACTGTTGTACTCTAGATAGAGCTTTCAACTCGGCCACATTCCACTGACTGACCTGTAGAACTGTAAAATAATAAATTAGTGTTGTTTTCAGCCTCCAGATCTGTAGTAATTTGTTACAGCTGTAATTAAAAAAGAATACAAGACTGATATTAAATTTTGTTAGGGAAGCTAGGCTGGTCCTCAACAGTCAGAGGGATGTGTATTATATGTGCATACATCTTCTTACCATATATTTTCTACCAATATATACACAGAAATGTCAAGGTTTTCTAAAGTCATACTTGTTAAATACAGAAGCTGAGATTCATAACCCCATATGTCTCTTATCCCAAATGTAGGTAATCTATGCATTTCTTAATAAGTGTATTGCTAAGCATCCTGAAGTTGATAGATGGTTTGGAATAATCTTGTAGTGAACAAGATTATATATACATATGTATAGTATGTATACAAGTATATACTAGTTGTTTATTGTTAACACTTAAGAAAGTAATAAAGCTTAGTTATCGTGTTTCCAATCATCTTAGTAGATGACTTATTTTAGGTAGTTTTTCAATTGATTTTTTAAAATTATTTATTTAATAACCACATGATTAGAAGTAGCATTTCATTACAGCATTAACATATTCAATAACAATTTCCAGAGCAAAGCTGCATCTCTTTCAAAATTGACTGTAAACTTTTAGGTTCACAATTGAATTAATACAGTTATACAATATTGAACTCAGTATAAACCCTATAAGACATAAAACTGAATGAGATTTTAACCTTTAAAAGAGATCTCCATTTCATTTTAAAATATACTGTTTCATACAGAAAAACTCCTTTTTTTGTCTTTTTTGAGACAGGGTCTCCTTGTAGCCTCAGCTGTCCTGGAACTCACTATGTAGACCAGGCTGGCCTTCAACTCACAAAGATCCGCTTGCCTCCGCCTCCCAAGTGCTGGGATTAAAGGCATGTGCCACTACGTCTGGCCTAGAAAAACTCATTTTTAATGCTATTAACACATAGATGTTTGCACATGCGTCTCTAATCTCTATGTATCTGATTATTACTAGTTATAGTTGGTTACTATCTGAGATTCTTGGCACTGGAGCATGGATATAAAATCATCAGGTAGATTTCAATGGTAATGTTTTTCACCTCTACTAATTAACATGAAGCAAATTTTTATGCTTCTTCCTCTAATAAAACACATTTTTTATTTGTTGATTTTTTTGTGTGTATTTCATACAGAACATCCCAAACAATCCTATTCCTCCATATACCCATATCCCAAATGGCACCCTCCCATAGTCTCCCCTCCCCCCACTGGAGCCCATATACTCTTTAATCCCTGTTATTGTCCACTGTCTTGTGAGCACCCCCAGCAATTCTCCAGTGTTTGTCCATTTGCTCAATCTAGTCAACCTATCTAGAGTTCCTTGTTTTAGGAAGATCAGCTCTTCCTCACCTAACAGCAAGCTGTTACCAATACTCCTTTAGATAAGATTGGGGTCTGTTCATTTTCCCAGTTCTATGCTGGGATACTATCTTGGAGTCTCTTGGGCCATCCTGGCCAACAACTCAAAGGAAGGTATCTCCTGTCTGGCATTCTTTCTTGTTATGTAGCTTTTAGCTATACACATGAACTCTTAAAGAATTATATTGATCCCTTTAATCTTTGGTTATACTTTCCTTTTGGGTGTTGAAGATCATGCAGTTGGCTCAGATAAACTGATTTATTTTTACTCTTAAGGTCATTTGAGGACCTGTTCCTCAGGGGTCACATGGGCTTGGGAGGAGCTCCTGGTTCCTTTCTTTTACCAGTTCCATCTATGTAAAGATAAGTCAAAGGTCCTACTTGACCATGGCTGGCTTCACTTGGAAGCATGGAAGAAATGTTTCCTCTGTGTTGACCCTCCACTTTGTAGACTGGACACTGGTTCAAGTTCATTTGGTGGGGTTTGCATGGCCTCCTTGATCAAGAGGACAGATGACTCACCACAGTTACAGGACATTTTGAGATGTGCTCCTAGTTCTCTGGAGCTTAGTCAACCTAGGAGGGCTCAAAACTGTCCTTTATGTCCCTCTGATCAAATTAGTATAGGCCTCAAAGTGTGGCTGTTAAACATCCAAGAAGGTTAGTTCCACCAGTCTGGAACTTTCAATTACCATGTGCTCTGTAGATAAAGCTTGGGCAGATAATGTTTGGGTAAAGACCAAACATTCTCAGATAAACCTTTCCTAGACATGTATTATATTCCTTGAGCTAGTTGTATGTACAATTTGTCAGCAGGTTCCCTCTGGTTTTTTTAAAACTAGCTAGGCATTATTTATCTCTTGCATTGTCTAACCCTTCCACTGTGGTTTTCCCCATTTAAAGTGCCCCCATTGTTCCCATTTCTCCCTTAATAATACTGTTCTTCTATGGTCCCACCTCTCTTGAGCGCCTTCTTTCCCTTTATCCCCAAGGTTCCTTGTAATACCCTCCCTCCCTGTCCTTAAAATAACCCCATTTTTATCCATACTCCCTTATTAATGCCTGTTTCCTACTGTTCTTCTCTTTCAGATTCTTTCTTTTCCTTTACCTTCCTGGTTCCTTTTCATTATCCTGGTTCCTGTAGTTATGTCTGGATACATACTCACTTATGAGGATTTGGTGCTAGGATCCACATATGAGGAAGAACCATACGTCGTTTTTTTTTGTCCACATATGAGATAGAACATATATCGATTTTTTTTTCTGAGTCTGTGTTACCTCACTTAGTATAACAGTTTCCAGCTCCATCCATTTACCTGCAAATTTTATGATTTCGTCTTTCTTTACTGCTGAGTAAAACTCCATCGTATAAATTAACCACATTTTCATTAACCACTT